ACAGGTGAGATGGAGAAGAAGCCCTGGTGGGGCAGGAGGAGCCAGAGGGTCACCTGCCCCCACAGGTGAGATGGAGAAGAAGCCCCGGGGAGGCAAGAGGAGCCAGAGGGTCACCTGCCCCCACAGGGGAGGTGGAGAAGAAGCCCTGGTGGGGCAGGAGGAGCCAGAGGGTCACCTGTCCTCACAGGTGAGATGGAGAAGAAGCCCTGGTGGGGCAGGAGGAGCCAGAGGGTCACCTGCCCCCACAGGGGAGGTGGAGAAGAAGCCATAGTGGGGCAGGAGGAGCCAGAGGGTCATGTCAGGAAGCTCAGGCAGGGAGACCAGAGAGCAGGGCTGTCCGCTGTCTGCGCTCCCTAGAGCAGTCACCATCTGCCATGTCAGGGAGTCACCATGGGTCACGAGGCCCAGGTGGAATGGTGGGGCAGGAGTGAGGTGCGGAGCCAGCAGACAGGGGCAGAGAAAGGACGACCCCGCCGTGAGGTGACCGTGGGAACAGGAGGCGGGGCACCTGGGCATTGGGAGGGTGGCACAAGCCTTCACCTCACAGTCTCTCCTGCCCTCTTTCCTCATGAAAACCGCCAGTGGGCCACAGCTTGCCTTTCTCACTCCTGTCCCCAGTAGTGAGGAGAGATGGAAGGGCTTCGGCCAGCATGGACAGGGAGGCTTCGCCTTGGACAGGATGGCTGGTGGTTGCCGGTGCTCTGGCCTTGCACAACGCACCCACACTGGGAATCCAGTGTTTATCCTCTGTACGGAGAGAAGGGGTGCTTCTCATGACCATGTTGTGAAAGAGAAAACCAGGGTTCCCAAGACACAGGTCCTAAATACGAAGGCTCACGCCCACCCTGAGTCCGCACAGCGAGCACACCATCAATCCCCCAGTGGACGCGCTCCTCGCAGGGTGGCCGCAGCCCTGGAGGGTGTGGCGGGCAGAGCCAAGACGATCCGCGGTGCTCGTCCAGGGAGGACGAGACCCAGACACCAAGCAGAGTGCAGCCGTGGTGTCCAGCATGCGTCGCCAGAAGATGGGGGGAGTGGGAGAAGAATCAGTGAAGAGAAGCAGACCTTCAACAGCAGAGCGCGCGCTCTGGCCAGTCATTGTGGTGGGCTAAAGGGCTGAAAGGAAAGTCTGGACACTTCGTGGGACAGAAGAGGACCGTGGACTGAGAAGCATCACTGGCTGAAAGCAAGGAACTCTGGGACTGAAGGTCCAACCTAGAGCGCGTCTTCTCCCCTCCCGGGAACTCCCTCACGGCCGGTGTCTGCTCACTGTGCTCCTGGCCAGCGGCCTCAGAAGGAAGTGGGGACAGCCTGGGCCCTCCCACCATCACCTGGCCGAGTGCTTGGCTGGACCTGGAGAGGCCATGGTCTGCACTGGCCGTGGGGAGGGCCAGCCACGTGTGGCCGAGTGCTGAGCCCCAGGGACAGCAGCTGGGTTTCTGGTGGTCGGAGCACAGGCCTGAGGTCTTAAAGAAGAGGTTCATGGCCTCAAGGTCAATTTTGTGAAAATCCAGTCTAGCTGATGTTGAAGGAACCCACACGATTTCCAGGGTTTGAATAACTCCACGGCCTGTAAGGAACATTTTGTGCCGTGGGAGCTGTGAGTTGGATGGCGGGTTGTAAGTGAAGAGTGCTGCGCCACACTCACTCCCCGCCCGAGGCGCATCCCGCCGGGCATGTACTCCTGCAAAGGACTTGGGAGTGCATGTTCCCAGGGAGTAGCCCAGATAATTTTGGCCACCTGTAATCCCAGTGGCTTGGGAGGCTGAGGCAGGAGGATCCTGAGTTCCCAGCCAGCCTCAGCAACCGTGAGGTGCTAAGCAACTCAGTGAGACCTTGTCTCTAAATAAACTACAAAACAGGGCTGGGGTTGGGACTCAGTGCCTGAGTGCCCCTGAGTTCAACCCCCAGTACCACTCCCCCAAAAGAAAGAAATACCAGGAAAAGAGAAGGTGCCCACACCCAGACACGGGGTGGACGTCCATGAGTGCCACTGCAGAGGCTCTGCTCCTCTCCTGTGACTCACGTTGGTAGGCACCAGTACGCCTCCTTGAATGCCAGCGTGGTCTTCCCCTTCCTACCTTGGATATGGTAGGCACCGTGCGTTGGTGAACCAGGGGACTCGTGGGTTGGGGTGAGTAGGACACCATCTTTGCACACATGCTGCACCTACACCAGGAAACTGGTGATGTGCCAACCTGGGTGCTCTGGGGAGCATTTCTGCTTTCGCGTGGCCAGACACACGGCACAATGAACCGGTTATGGAGAGCTGGTTCGGGGCCCTTAGTTCCTTCTTGCCATATGTAAACCATAATGAGAATCTGCACACAGACTCACCCACACATGGCCTCTCCCTGGGAGAGCATTCGCGGTATCTCGCCAGGCAAGCGGATGAGTGTAGGTGCGGCTCACAGAGTTCCCTTATGAGAGTCAGGTTTGGAGGCTGCTGGGTGGTGTCCTGGGAGGAGCATTGGGTTTCACCAGTGGGTTCGATCTCCTCCCTGGATGCCAAATTAGCAGGCTGACTCTAAATCCCCACCCAGCTGAGATTTTCGTCTAATCAATTTCTCATTGAACCCCCAAGTTTCTGGTACTACAAACTAAAAATCTCTTTGTGGCGAGTATGTCTATAATTTTAGAAAGGTTTTCTGATATTCTGTCTTACAGGAGTTTTGGTCTGTTTTAGATTCTTTGTTTTATTTTAGAAAGCAGACTGTCTTGCTGTTGCCGTGTTTCTTGTGTTGGTGTGCGCGGAGGACACACCAGCAAGCGGCACCCGGGCCCTGGGCAGCTCGGATGCACGTGGGGCACGTTAACTGGGGATTACCCAAATGGCTCCACTCTGCTGGGTCGGCCTCCGTCCAGCCCAAGGGAGGAGGCAGCA